TTCTTCATCTACAAAAAGTAATTTCTGCTTTGGCTACCGAGCGAGCGAGAGGAAGTAACGCGGTGGCACTGCCGCTACACCACCAGGCAACGACTGCATCGCTACTCCAAGGTTGGCAAAGAACGCCGATACTAGGTCAGTGAGCAAAATGACGGGGAGGACCCTCCGCAGTAAGAGAGTAGTAGCTGACGAATCAGAAGGGGAAAGTGAGGTTCTGGACTGGCCGAGTAGAGAACCAAGTACCGGCAATGAACAGTTAGACAGACACTATTACAATTTTTGGAATGCGTGATTTACTGCTTAGCGCCGCGTAGTGGGAATGCGGACAAGTACTTGCAGTAGCAGGATAGACTGTTCAGTTTGGTGATAGTGTGCGTGCGTTAGGAAGTGTATAGGTGAGTACAAACTCTTTTGTGGTATGGGTGGTACTGGGGAAATCAAATACCCGGGGCGGACAAATATTAGCATAGTGGAGGGCAGCAGCGACCACTATTACCAACTTCAAACGTAAAGGAAATGATCCTGGACCGGTTCGAGGCTGGATTACGACAAGCATGGCTGGAGCAGCTTTAATGGTTGTGGTACTGTGATGTGGAAAGCAAATGGAAAAACTTCCACATTACTTTTTTCCAGGACAGATTCTGACCAACAGGAGCAGTCACAATGTGCATGATGCTTTCACCAGAGACAAAACAATCCGGAGGTAAACTAGTCCTCCATTCGGACCTCCGGGCGAGGACTGTCTCGGGAGAAGGTATGAGGCAGGAGAATTCTTTTGGGAAATTCACCATAAGAACGTGGAACGTCAGGACACTACAACAGGGAGGAAAACTGGAAAATCTGAAGATCGAAATGGATAAAAATAATGTGTGCATTGTGGGTGTCAGTGAAGTTTGATGGAGGGATCAAGGTGATTTAGAGTCTGGAAGCTATCTTATGTACTACTCGGGAGGTGAGAGTGCTGAAAGAGGTGTTGCAATAGTGATGCAGAAATGGATCAAGAAAAGTGTAATCAAAGTGCAAGCGTGTAGTGACAGATTGATGTATATCAAGTTGAATGCAGAACCAGTGGATATTCTGATAATGCAGGTGTACATGCCAACATCG